AAGCACTGCCAGCCAGAGGAAATCTCCCTCTGACCATGATAGAAATGACAAATCTGATACAAGGTACGAGATCTCTCTCTGACCAGGAGATCCAGTATCGGGGAAGGTATCGGAGCATTTGGGCGAGTACGAGAAGTCGTGTATTGGTATCGGCACTGATACCAATACTAGTATCGGTGCATCCCTAGTTAAGAACATTACAATGAGTTTAGTGTCTAGGTACCCATAGGCATGCTTTAGTTTAATGTGCCCATAAGCAAGATGGTGTTAAAAGGTTTGCCTGGCAAACCTTAGGCCTAGTTTTCAGTTACAAACTGGAAGTGGAAATACTAAACGCATCCTGTGGGCTTCAGCCATCTCCCATAATGGTTCACGACTTCCATGGTCTCTGCATGCAAAATGAAACCCTTTAACTAAGAACAAAGTATCTTCTCTCAATAGACAATGGTCATGCCAATTACAATTACAATAGACATTTATCATGGTAACAATATCTTTCGTTCCGTAATGGAAAACACACAGCCATGCCGCTATGGACACTCATAGTAACATCACAGCGATCTGGTTGTCTGGCATAGTAAGGTCGCATGTTTATTCAGAAACTGTTGCGCTTTCATTTATAATCACGCGTAAAGTGGATCTCTACTTATAGTAGTTGTAAAGGCTCCAAGTTTGTGTAATCAAAGTGGAACTCCAGGAATGTAAACTTTAACCCTTGCAGTGTGGCTAACCCTGCACTGCATGGGTTAACTGCTCGTTTTTCTCTAGGAGCTCATACAAAAGAAATATACATACCTGATCCTCGATCCTGTCTGGCTGCTAGATCGATCCCCACAGCCTCTTCGCCCCCCCAGGCTCTGGTGGTCTAAGCCTTGCTGATGTCATGTCTAATACAGTCCATTCGCTTGCATTAGACGTTAGAACGCTGAGGCACATTCCACAGCTGAAGCAGAGGGGGGGAGAAGTGAGCACTCATCTCCGCAGGACCAAAGTTTAGGTGAGCATTTCTTTATTCTGGCCCCTGGAGAAAAATGAGCAGTTAACTCTTGCAGTGCGGGGATAGCCAAACAGCAAGGGTTAACTTTTTTCTTTAATTCTTATTAATCAGGAAAACAGTCCCAAGTACAATATGTGCTGCATAACACGCTCTTCTTTGGGAAGCCCAATCATTAAAAGGAGAACTATGGGGTCAGTGTTTTTCCCCATAGTTCTCCTTAGGTAACGGGAGGACACAAACTAGCGTCCTCCCGTTACCCTAAGCTCAGTATACCGCGAGCTACAGCTCGCAGTATACTGAGACGCCACAGCCGGAGCGGATCCCGACGTAGATGACGGGATCCGCCCAGCTGCGTGAGTGACAGCTGGCTCTGCCTATCTAGAGGCAGAGCCAGCTGTACCCGCCCCCTCCCCCGTCCGTTCCGCCAGTCAGCGCTGGCAGATCGGAGCGGGGAGAGGGGAATCCAGCCCCTCCCCTGTCACGGCAGAGAGCCGTGACAGGATCGAGAGGCGAGCGTACGCCGGTATGTGTTCCCTCACCTCCCGATCTACTGAGCCGACCTGTGACAGTCTCATTGTCACAGGTCGGCTAGAACTATGAGGGGAGTGGAAATCACTCATCTCATAGTTCTCCTTTAATAGGCATTAGGGCAATGCACAGAGGATGGTGAAATCTGATATGCGATGCCAACCTCCCATACTGCACAAGGGATCTGACAGACATGGGATGCCAACCTCCCATACTGCACACGGGATCTGACAGACATGGGATGCCAACCTCCCATACTGCACACGGGATCTGACAGACATGGGATGCCAACCTCCCATACTGCACAAGGGATCTGACAGACATGGGATGCCAACCTCCCATACTGCACACGGAATCTGACAGACATGGGATGCCAACCTCCCATACTGCACAAGGGATCTCACAGACATGGGATGCCAACCTCCCATACTGCACACGGAATAACCAAGGCTGCTGCACACTTACTAGGATGATCACATCTGCAATCTCAGCCATTCCACATCCGAGTGGATAACTCAAATCTGAACTATGCACATACATGTAAAGTGACCAATGTATGGACGGCCTAAAGTCATAATAAACTCAATCCTTTTCAATAATGAATATAGATGAAACAAACACACATCGCCCAGCAAAGAATTTCTTTCCAAGCACTTACAGTCATGTTTCCAAACAGCTCCAACTCTCTCAGCTCGGCTTCCCTGGACTCTCTGTCCAGTGCAAGATCAGAAAGAGAGCAGATTCCAGCAGCTGTCCATCTATTAGCTTGGAGGAAGGGGGGAGGAAGTTTCCTACCCTGGTATGCCTGTTTGTTTTGGAGACACACAGCTTACTAGCACACACAAGGGTGGCTCCATAGGACCCTGCAAGGGAAATGAGTCATCCTAAAACAGGATATCAGGCCCAGGGCTCAGGGGGACCAGCTGATTCTTCAGGAAACAAACTTTTAACCCCCAAGCAGCAGCATCCATTGTAAGTGATTTCATCAGCATTCAAAATAGCTTAAAAACATTTGGACTTTAATATATCAATAAGTTGATATAGCAAAGTTCCGCCTAGCTATGCCATTTGCACAGAACTAATGCAACTGGATGGCGCTGAGGAGCATATACGCTGGGCAGAATCTTTATATATCAGCCCCTAAGACACAGTCATGTGACAGAAAACAATATTGATATACAACATTTCAGATACTTGTATCATAGAATTATTATTATTATTACTAATAATAGAATAGACACCAAGGGTGTATGGAAGATATGGTCAAACCCAAGGAGCCAGTGTTCCCAATGAGTTCAAGCTGATAGTATAAGGAAACCTGTCAGAGAAATATGGGGGCTGCCACGGCTGATGTCTTTCTTAACTATACGAATCATCAAGAACTGGCCACAATCCGCTCAGTGGGTGGCCCTGTCGCCGCCCTTCCGTCCGGCATCCCTCGATCAGAAAATTGAAGGAGCCAGATGGAAAAATCAGCTGCTGTTACTGTTCTGGTATTCTGACGGCGGCGGCCAGCAAGAGATCAGTCCATCCACCCTATGCAGCCTGGATGGAGGAACCTGTAAGATTTTCTTTGTGCAGCCCTCAGGTTGAACAAGATTAAAAAAAAAATAATAATAATATTGTGCGCGTGTGTGGCCAGCTTTAGTCACTAACGAGGAATATTTGTGCAGCACAAAACCACAAAATATGACATTTATGTGTAAAGGGCCAAATGATGATTGCAAACATATACTCTGCACCCAAGATGCAAACCAAAACATAAACAGGGCAAGCATAATAAGGTGTCAGCTTTTACCTATACCATAAACCCCCCCGCCCCCCCCATTGTTCTCTAATCACTGCTGCCCCCCCACAATTCCAAAGCAAATACAAACTATCAGAAATGAGGTATTTACACCACACGGCTTATGGCTTTGTGCTTTACAAGTGTGTTCTGTTCTGGGAAATCCAAAGCCCACAGAACACAAACAAAATGAACGATAAACCGCAGAAAAGAAGCCAGACAGCCCACTCACACCAACTGTCAAAGTCATGTGACCAGCTTCTCCACCAATCATAGAGTCCTGTCTGCTGTGGTAAGCAGAGAAAACTCTGTGATATACCGTAGCCTGCGTTTAGGGCTTGTTCACACGACGTCCAGATTCACGCCGGACCAGATTCGTGCCCTCCTGTACCCAAAATGCATCCCAATGTATCCCTCTGTGTTTTATGGGCTACAGTTCTCACGAGCGCAGTCCGTTCCGGTCCGGACAGAAAAAATACTGCATGTCACATTTTGTCCAGTCCGGATACGCACGAACACGTCAAAAACGCAACGAAAACGCACTGCACTGCAGCTAACATACTGACAGTCCCACTCCCACCCGAAAAAAAACTGGAACGCGTCAAAAACACATAGCCCTGCGTCTGCAGATCTGCTCCAGATCCGGACCAGATATGGTCCAGACATCGTATGAACAAGCCCTTACATTGGGTTTCGTACACACCAAACCTGTTGGGCTGCGATGGGCCGCACTGTAAAGCACAGACAATTTGCCCTGCGTCCTATTGCTTCACTTCACACCAATGTGCTGAAAAAAGAGATGTTGCATTCTTGTGCAGCGTGTTTCATCGCGTGATAGCGCATCACAATGGGCTTTAAAAATCCTGTACTGTATAAAGGGGGCTAGTTCTGAAAGAAATAAGAAATACCCCCCCCCCCAGGGCCTGTATGAAGAACTGTAGATGCCCGTCCTCTCCCAGACCTGTATTAAGGGCTGGAGATGTGCTCCTTGAGGTCTTTATGAAGGGTGGTAGACGTGCTCCTCGCCTCAGGCTTGTCAAAAGAGTAGTATGAAGGTATGAAAATGTAGTAGCAGCAAACGTGCTCCCCCCAGGCCTCTACGAGAGGTTGTAAACGTGCTCCCCCCAGGCCTCTACGAGAGGTTGTAAACGTGCTCCCCCCAGGCCTCTACGAAAGGTTGTAAACGTGCCCCACCCCCAGGACCGTATGCAGGGCTGCAGATGTGCCCTCACGGCTGTTAGGACCGGAGATACCCCCCGGCCTGTATGAAGGCCATTAAAGGTGCTTTTCCCACCTCAGCCCTGTATGAAGGGCAGGAGATACCCCCCAGGCCTGTACGAAGGGCTGCAGATGTGCTCCCCACCCCCTCAGGCCTGTTAGAAGGGCTGCAGATGCCCTCCAGGCCTGTATGAAAGGCAAATGATGTGCTCCCCATCTCAGGCTTGTATAAAGGGCAGTAGATGCCCCCCTTCCCCCGAGGCCTGTATGGAAGGCTGTAGACAACCCCCAGGCCTGTATGAAGGGCAGTAAATGTGACCCCCATACCTATATTAAGGAGTGTAGTCATACGCACCCAGGTTCGTATGAAGGGCTGTTAGGTTGCCTCCCTCCCAGGCCTGTATGAAGGGACTTGCCCCGGCTGAAGTACCGGCCTGCGCACACACAGAAGGAGAATGTTCCGTTACTCACCCCTCAGGCAGTCCCCCCGGATGATAGGACCTCGGGGTAGGCCTCCTCTTAGTAGAAGGGACGCCATGGTGTAAGGACGGGATGAGCTCGAGGTGACAGATCAATGGCTGCGGTAGGTCCGGGTTGAATGTTGCCCCATGTCCCTCTGTCAGCGGCTCTCACTCCACCTCCACCCGCTGAATGCCAACCTACTGCCGGCTACGGGGCGGAGCTACGCAGTGACGTAACACTCAGGTGACTCTCAGGCTAGCTCCGCTGCGTCCCTGTTGACTATTGGCTGAGGGGTGAGGGATGCTCGCTCAATGGACGCAGGCAGCCATGTTGATTACTGGCAGTGAGAGGAGTGACGCTGAAGGACGCAGGGACGGGAGCGGCCATCTTGGTAGTGGGAAGGGAAAAGAGCTGTGACATTGCAGATAATTGCTCTATCTAGAACGGGAACTCCCGTGTGACTCATTTCACCCATGAGAGAACAGGCCCTGTCCTGCTGCTCCATTCTATCATTACAACAATGGATTCCACTAACTGCTGTGAAATAAAGTCTCCATGGAAATCTAAACAAATGTTCGAATGTAAAATCACTGTAACCACAAAAAAAACTACAATACCCAACATTGCCCATAGGCAACGATTTAAAAGCTTTTACCGCTCATCAATTTAGTGTGAACAGTGATTGACAACTCTAAAATTATTGCTCATACACCATTTACTGTGATACGTAACATGTCAATTTCGTGTGTAGGTGCACTCAACGCGTGTTTGCGTTTGTATGTGTGGGCGGGGGGGACTTTAACCAGTTGACATCCGCGGTGTTAAACCCCCTTCCCATCCAAGCCATTTTTCAGTATTCAGCGCTGCGGTACTTTGACTGACATTTATTCCGTCATGCAGCGCTGTACTGAAATGAATTTTATACCCTTTTTTGGGGACAGATAGAGCTTTCTTTTGGTGGTATTTATTCACCACTGGGGGTTTTATTTTTTTATTATAAATTTTTTATATGTGACTAATGTCACCTATACACCCCAAAGAAGCTGATGGAGCAGAGATCTGCTTCACCAGCTTCTTCTCTGGCCACATCAGCCGGACAAATGATAGTCTGAATGTGGAAGTGATGTAATACACATCACTTCCACATTCAGTGATCGGAAGGGAGATCAGCTGATGTCCATCTGATCAATGTAAACAGACCCACTGTGCCAGTCCCAGGCCAAACACAAGGAACAGCAAAGCCCGGGATAGGTGGGAGGGGGCACAATTCCCCAGCACCGTACAAGCGATCGGGCGGCTCTATAGTCGCCCGAATGCTTGTATGTAACAGCCATCGCCAGCTGTTCAAAGATGTTTAAAAATGCCCTCCAGTGCAAGCCAACCATTTAATTACAACAAGCAAGTAATTAATGTTAAATTAATTTTCCGTGGAGGGGGGGTTAGGGGGGGCTGGGAGAGGGCACCCCCCTCAAATGATGGCAGATAGCACAGGAAGCAATAGCTTCTTTGCTATCTGCAGGCTTTTTTTAAAATATTCTGACAGTTGCATAGCGGCTCCCGGCCGCCCGGGAGAGAAACACTTCCTCCCGGAAAGGTTTAATCTGCTCGATCGAGCAGATTAAACCTTTCCCAGTGATCGTTTTTTTTTTTCTGACATCGGGAGCCGCGGCCCGACCGTCAGTCAGAATAAAAAACAAAGGCATACAAATGCATAGCTAGATTCCTATTGGCTATTTCACTTTGCAAAAGCCAATAGCAAACTAGCTATTGCACCCGCCCCCTACTGCTTTCAATCACCAGAAGAGGACCTGATAGAAAAATTCGATCGAGCAGATTAAACCTTTGCGGGAGGAAGTGTTTCTCTCTCGGGCGGCCAGGAGCCGCTATCTAATAGCGGGAGACTCCCGGAGCGTCCGGGAGAGTTGGGTTGTCTGAAACTGGGACTTGACCATTAAAGGGTACGTTTCATGAGGGGAATATGCTAAACTACGTCTGAGACTAGCCGTTTTCTGGCTATCATGCTGAATCTTTGTTACTGTCAGTAAAGAAGTTCCTTGCTGCACTCCTTGCTGGGCTCCCCATGCAGATATGCAGGTGGGTGCTCGTAGTGACTGCAGATGGTGCCGCCAGCATATAGATACTTGAAAAATGTCACCAGCACACCAATTTCTTTACAGAACGTGAATAGTAATTTATTGATGTATGCCGTCTCTTGTTTTGCAAGCACTTTCGGGGGCCGCACAGGGCCCCCTGCATCAGGCTCAGAGAAGAACATCTTTGAGCCTGATATAGGGGACCCTGCGCAGCCCAGAAAGCGCTTGTAAAATGAGAGACGGCATACATCAATAAATTACTATTCACGTGCTGTAAAGAAATCAGTGTGCTGGTGACATTCTTCAAATATTGTTACTGTAGGTGACCTGAAATGACAAGAGCGATAAAAAATCCTGACCAGAACTTGCTGCATGCTTGTTCTAGGCTAGTAAAGACAGCCGCCAGACAACTAGCATTTTCAGGAGGATGCCTGAAAATTAGGGCTGCGGAAATTAACGATTAATCGTTAATTTTTTTGATCGATCAAAATTATTTTGATCGGTACTCACCTCTCCGACGGCTTCCGGGTCATCCGTCGGAGATCCGGTGACGTCACGGACATCGACGTCACCGGACTCCTCCCCCCTTCCCCAGGTGGCTCTGTCGGCTAACGAAGGAAAGGGGGGAGGAGTCCGGTGACGTCGTTGTCCGTGACGGCTAACGAAGGGAAGGAGGGAGGAGTCCGGTGACATCAATGTCAGTGACGTCACAGGACTCCTCCCCCTTCCCTTCGTTACCTGACGGAATCACTTGGGCCGGTGAGTCTCATGGTTCATACCAAGCGGTAGATCACAAAGTTGCATGCTTCATTTAATTCTCTTCCACCTGCTCTTGTCAACTTCCCACTGTGCAAGTGAATTCAACAACGTTCACACATAGCGAATTGTCGCGCGATTTCCGCCGCGATATCGCGCATTTTTGCCGCGCGATATCGCGAGAAGTCGCCGGCCAATGTTATTCAATGGAGCTGTCTTAACTCCATGTCGCGCGTCGCTCGTCGCGGTCGCAAGTCGCTTCTACCGGACCCTTTTTTCGGCGGATTTTGCGCGATTTTACTTTTTTTCTATGGAGCCCGACGGGGAAGGTCGCGCTACCGTCGCTGGATCGTCGCTGGAACGTCGCCCCGAAAGTCGCGCTATCCCGGCCGTGCGGATCCGCTGCAAAAGGTATGTCGCTATATGTGAACGGGGCGTTATTCAGATGTTTTTTACTTTCCATGCTGTATCATTTTATGAACAGGGTTCAAATGGTAATAGCCAGGTCAATGTGTTGCTCATTTTATCTTCTGGTGCACTCAGAAACCTCAAAGACAGGGTGGGAAGTCTGGGCCCTCCTTACCATCTTGTCTTGTAACTGTAATGTCTTCCTTATATTGTAAAGCGCTGCGCAAACTGTTGGCGCTATATAAATACTATGTAATAATAATAATAATAATACATTTCAATGTACTATAACGTACTTGTGAACCACGCAGTATGACTTCTTGACAGTGTAAATCAGTGAGAGTCACAGGTGTTTTCATGTGTGCTTATTTTGAGGCCATATAACTGAGTATGACCAAGGATATTGACAAACAGCACGCAAAGTTCTCCTTTAACTGGGTTCTGACTTTTTTGGTCAGAACGTTATCTATATTAATATTAGAATATATTAATATCATAATGCGCCCTATTACCTAAAAGTAGTTGGATCTGTATGTGCGTTATAATTAATCGAAATTAGTCGATTAATCGATTTTAAAAAAATGTGATTAATCGAACAGGAAAATTTTAATCATTACCAGCCCTACTGAAAATGCTAGTAGAAAATGACAGAATTAACCCTTACAGTGGGGCTACTCCTGCACTGCAAGGGTTAAGTGCTTGTCATGACCTAGGGGTTGAAATAAAAAAGATATACTCACTTGATCCCCTCTGGCTACTAGACTAGGAACCTAGTGCACTTGAATTCCATGGAGAAGTCCTTTTGCCGCAGTGGTTGATGGGACAAATCCAGTATTCATTTTAATGGTACATTTCTATTTTGTTTTAGTCATATTATAGTCGTCTGACTTGTTTTAGTTTTAGTCTAGTTTTGTCGAATGGGTTTATTTCCCATCTATTCCTGTTCTAGTGACAACTTAATATTAGGGATTTTCATTCATTATCAGTGATAATGATCACCAGGACAAACAGAAAGGGTGCCGCAGTGGCTGATGGGACAGATCCAGTGTTCATTTTAACGGCAAATTTGGATTTCGTTTTAGTCTAATGGGTTTATTGAACGTGTAATGCATTATTTAAGCAATTCTCTAGAATTTCCAAACTCATTATATATTACTGGAGTAAACATCTATTAACCTGTTATTATTTATGGTATTAAACAGGGGCGGAACTACTGCCGGTGTAGCCGGTGCGGCTGCACCAGGGCCTTAGGCTGTGGAGGGGCCAGTGAGGTCCGGTGGGGGGCACCCCCCTTGCTGGAATATGGGGCAGTGCAGCGTCCCTACACTGCCGATGGGCTTCTCTGCAAGGGGGTGGGGTCATGTGAATCACCGCTCCGACTCCCAGCCCCATCCCTAGTAACGGGGCGGGAGAGGAGAAGTGTGTGTGTATCACATGCCCCGCCCTCTACACACCATCTGGCTGTGAAGTTGTGCCGCATCCCCCCTTCGCTGAATCCGATCAGCCACCCCTCCAGGCTATGGGACCCTGTAATTAGCGAAGTTCTCAAACTTTGGCAGGGTCTGTCCCATCCAGAAGTGCCACCCCCTCCCTTCTGAATAACAAAGCAAGTGTTAGCAAAGCAGTATCTCTGGCAGCACTTTGGTGAGTGCACTTCAACCAGGTCAGTCGCTGAGTGGGGGGTGGGGCTGGATCGAGGAGGAACTGACTGCACACAGGGTGCTGTTATTTCTTATAATTAGAAACATGGATTATAATAGGGAGCATTACACTGTAATGTTCCCTATTATAATCTATTCCTCTGATTCCATTTTTAGACAGGGCCGCCATCAGGGGGGTACAGCTGATACCCATGTAAGGGGTCTGGGGGGGCCCCTTACATGCGTATCAGCTGTACCAGGGGTGGCATGGCAGAGGTGACAGGGTAGGTTGTGGAAGAGGCCAGGCCCCAGCAACAGCAGG